AGCAAGATGGGAGTCTGGACTGTGGAAGACCTGGGTGCTGGGATGCAGGGTGAGAGCTTTCTCATAAAGTGGTAGGAAACTAAGAAGGGTCTTGGAGCAGCAGTAGGGTGTGATCTCATCTGTGTTGGAAAGGTCTCTGCATGAAAATAGGAGAAACTCAAGGGAAAAAATTAAATGCAGTAAGAGCAGGTTTCAGGCAACCAAGAGTGAGCCCGCAGTCAAACCACTGAGCCACAGGCCAGACTTTCATACTAAAATCTCCAACAGATTTTTTAAAAAAAATCAGTGGTTTGCCTTCCTTGACCTCACAAGTTGCTTTGGGATTAACCCTCTGACACCATTTTCTGGCAAATAAATCATGGCCCCACCAAGGATTAACATTGGGACCCTTCTTGGCTGGGAGACAGACACAGAGCTTCAAACCCCACTGCAGCTGCAGGGGCACGTAGGATGCCATAAATGAGGCTAGCTGTATGCAGGGGACGCTGCAAGCCCTGTTGGAGGGGCCTGTTGTCTGAGCCTCGCCTGCAGCTGAAGAGATAAGAATCTACAACTGCAGCCACAGGAAATGACAAAGCAGTGACTGATCAGGGAGCTGCTGCACAGGGCTCATTACGGCGCTTGCCAGTGGGCGAGACACCCTTATCAGGGAGAAAATTGCATCAGGCCTCCTGAATTACTAGCGATTGGAAGCAGATTTCTTGGGACTCACTTTGTTAGATACCTAATGAGCGGGATACAGGCCGGCAGAGCCCAAAGCCGGCGGGGCGAGGGACAAATGTCTTTGTTAAACAGAATTTGTCAGTTTCCGCTCCAGGCTCCCTGGGGAGTGTTCAGGGCCAGCTAATTGAATTAAGAGCCTGTGCGGTCCAACGAGAAGGCTCAGGGCGGGGCGAGAGGCAGGCAGGCCGGAAGGAGGGCACTTTCAGCACCAAGGACAGCAGCTGCAGCCTGGCTAGTCCGTAATTGCCGGGCAGGCTGGAACTGTTACATTTTGCATGATTGGGGATCTAGGGGAAGGAGTGGGTAGGAGGAAGGCAGAGGATGTTGTGGGGAGAGGGGAGACAGGTGACCTAAGAAGCCTCAAGCCTGTGATGCCATTGGTCTGGTCTGTCTCAACAGACCCCATTCTGCTAGCAACAGTGAGTGCTGGGACAAGTGAGGAAGGGGTGTCTTCTCCCCCACCCTGGCACTCACATGTGGTGTGGGCCGCTGCAACAACACAGAGAGCAGTGGGCTGAATCCTGGGTCTGAGCTAGTGCGTGGCCATGCATCTCTTTGAGCTTTCAAAGTCAATCTCCAATTACAGCCTTAATGAAGCAGGATGTGCTGCAGCCACGAAGCCACAGGGCCAGGGGCCACTTGTCAGCCCCAAGCTCCTCCAGCAGGTGGGGCAAGGCTTGTCAAATACAGAGGCAAATAAGCAGGATCGTGGGGGTGGGCCAGCAGCCCCCACTCTACCTGGAGGAAAGGAGGAGAGTGAGATAAGGCTGGGCTTGAATAGGGAGGAGTTAGTCTCCAAGGCCCTCCCCATCCTCCACCCTGACTCACTACCTCCAATGGGTTAGCTTTCTCTATGGTTTCAGGCAGCCTGGCCCTCTCTGTGGTCTCAGACAAGCTCCCTTCCTTAAGAAGCAAAGGGCCAAGGGCATAATTTCCTCCCCCAAATGTGAGCTGATTGAAGCTTTGGAGTCTGGAGAGGCAAAGCTGACCCTAAAGAAGGAGAACTATTGGGGAGAATTTAGACACAATGGGCCTCTTGGTGCCCCTCACTTCACATGACAAAATCAACCGCCTTGGATATGCTCTGCAAGATCTGTGCCATTTAGAGGTCTAAAGATTTCACTGTAAAAGTCACCTCTCCATTTTGCCTTCAAAACCCAGGCCAGGATGGATCCTGGCAAAGTTGAATGGGACAGAAGAATGGGAAGGTGGGCAGAAACCTGCAGGGTGGGGAGGTACAGCCATGGGAGCAGATCCTGGCCAGGGCCAGCCCCAGAATAGGACAGGACAGAACCACTGAGTCTGGCAGGCACTACAGGAAAGGTAGCTGTAGCAGAGATGGGCAGGGTGCATTTAAAGTCCATAAGTAGGCCGGGCGCGGTGGCTCAAGCCTGTAATCCCAGCACTTTGGGAGGCCGAGGCGGGTGGATCACGAGGTCGAGAGATCGAGACCATCCTGGTCAACATGGTGAAACCCCGTCTCTACTAAAAATACAAAACATTAGCTGGGCATGGTGGCGTGTGCCTGTAATCCCAGCTACTCAGGAGGCTGAGGCAGGAGAATTGCCTGAACCCAGGAGGCGGAGGTTGCGGTGAGCCGAGATCGCGCCATTGCACTCCAGCCTGGGTCACAAGAGTGAAACTCTGTCTCAAAAAAAAAAAAAAAAGTCCATAAGTACTCTGCCTTCCCTGCCTTCCTTCTCAGAACCCACCACCACTCCCACCTCACCCCATAAGAGACTGACGGAGTAAAGGCACTGGTCTGGACTGAGGGGTTGGTCTCACCTTTATTTTAGCTTTGGGATGAAATCAAATGAACTACACGTAGTAAATTTCAGAATCCACATAAAAGTACCTGGTGAGTGCCCAGCTCTGAACAAGGGCTCAGTAAATGTGAGCTCTCGGTTATTGCATTGACCCATCTGGTGTTAGGGCCACACCAAGTAGATGTCAGGGAGACAGGCTGTGGGGGAGGGAACTCCCTTTCAATTGTCTCTGCTTTCAGTACTGATGGGGGCACCTCTGGAGACCTCTCCCTTGATTTCATTACTTCTACTTCCTCCCCTAACTGGATTAGATGGCAGTCTATGAAATCCAGGGCATGGAGATTGGCTTTCTGCCTGGAAATGAGGAGAAATGTCATTATAGGTTCCTGAATTAGCATCTCACCCCAGCCCCAGGGGCCACCTGGTCAACGGGAAGGTGGTCTTTGCCTTCTAGTTATGCTTTCCTTCATTCTCCCCTGCATCCGCCCTTCCATCCATTCATCCACCCACTCATTCATTCATCCACCCAATATGCATTTTGTAGCTCTCCCTCTGCTGCCAATCTAGTGTTCAACTGTTCTGAGAAGGAGACAGATGTGGTACTTTTCCCCATCTAAAACACATGGCCAGAAAACCCTAAACCATCTGACTCAGATGCTACCCTGGGTGCCTTCATATCAGTGGGGAGCCTCCAAGTGAATCCTGCCTTCTGTGAGTGATAGCTAGCAGGAGGACCAGGTGGGAGAGACAGCCAGGCCTGATGCCCACAGACAAAACAGGCACAGGAGTCTTGGTCGTGAAGTGCAGTAGGCAGACTGCCAAAGTCAGCCTCGGGGTCCCCCAGTGTCCCACTCTTCCCATTCCAAGAGTCTTGTTATAGCTGCTTTCTCTTTGGCATTGTCTATTTTGCACCCATTTGATGGGGAGTTGGGGATACAGAGCCCAGACTTAACCAAATGCCCCTGTGTACTTGTGTGACTGTCCCTTACTCTATAAACACAGCCTGAAAAGGCTTCGCATTAATGAATTTCTGCACAGCAAATTTTATTTGAAAGGGACACAAAGGCATAATTACTTAAAAGAATTTCAGTGGTAAAGTGAAGGGTCCTTGTCCCGATTCATTGAGTTAGTATGCATGGACTTTCCTAGAGGAACCACTTAAAGAGAGGCCCACCTGCACTCATTCTCTCTCTGGTTGTTCAGGGTCAAACACCCGGGCACCTCTAACTCTGAGCACATCTGTACTGGTTGGCAGTGTGCCTACTGCTCTATTTATTTCTAGCACAAGACTCCAGACAGTGGAATAATTTGTCTGCTATGCAGCCAAGAGAGGATTCCAACAGCTGGTGCAGGGTGGAGCTGGCTCACCTTTGAGGTCCCTGCAAACCCTAGGACTGCATGATTCTTTGAACAATGAGTATGTTTTAGAGATAGCCATGGATTTCCAACAGAGCTTTAAAGTAACCCCTCCCCAAAGGAAGCACAGACATGTCCCTAAGCCCAAGGAACTTGAAGTTTTATTAGAAAAACAAGAATAGCAGGCAAGTCTGGAATTAGAGAGCAGTGAAAACACAGCCAGCCAACTGCTAGACCAGAAGAACCCAGAACACCTACAAGCCAGTGTGAGCTGAGACATCAAGGTATCCTTGGGCAGGGAGGCCGGTATTTGAGTGGCGTCAGATTTTAGACGCATGAGAGTGATGGTCACGCCAAGAGAGAAGGAGGAGAACAGGAAAAGGAACACGGAAGGAGCCAAAGGTTCATCAGAATATACGGAGAGGAGAGACTCTGTGCTTAACGGGTAGTACTATCGAAGGGTGATAGAGGAGATAAGATGCAACATGGGTCTGCATAGCAAAGGGTGTAAACAAAATCTAGGATTGTAGAAGCTGTTGTTACTGTACCAGGTGTGGGTGTCAGAGATGGCATCGTTCATTTATTCTTCCGCCAAACATGTCTTGAGCACCTACAGTGAGCCAGACACTAGGGACAGACAAAGTTTCTTGCTTAATGGGACGCCCATCCTAGCATGGGCATTGCAGGAGGGAGGCAGTGAAAAAGTCGATGAATTTTCAAATTTTTTGATAGAGTAAGTGCTATGAACACAGTAAAATGGGGTAAGTGAATAGAGAGTTTATTGGAAATGGGATTACTTTAGACAGAGTGGGCCTCTATCGCAAAAGGCAGGGACCCTCTGAGAAGACCAATTCCGGGCTGAGACCTGCATGATAAGGAGACAGCGCATAAAGATCCCGAGGACCTCTGGGAGGAGGACAGCAAATGCAAAGGCCCTGAGGCAGGAGAGAGCTTGGCTTGCGGAGGAACAGCAAGAGACTTGTTGTTGGGGCCCGGTGGGCAAAGGGCCAGATGGTAGGAGGTGTACACAAGCCAGACATACAGGGCCTCCTGAACCAAGAGGAGAAGAGGCTTGAGGTATAGAAGGTGTGTTTATGGTGGATGGTCGCAGAGAAGGGGCCTGTCCCGAAGTTTCTCTGTACCTTCTCTTCTCAGAGACCAGAAAACTTCTTGACACCGAACAACAGCAAGGCTCTTCCTACCTTGGACCCCAAGATCCTAGATGAGAAGCTGGGAACCATCCGAGAGTCCTGGTCCAAGGCCACAGTGAGCTCCACAATGGACTTGAGCACTCCCACTCCACAGGAAGTAGAGGAGGAGCCTCCGGTGCCTGAGATGTCCCGTGACACAGTGAGTGTCTCTCCCCAGGTGGGAAGGGCCGGGGCAGGGACGAGGCCATGGGAAGGGGACTTGGCTGCCATCTGCAGGACTGGTTCATGCCTCAGGTGGCCAGCAGACCTCCCGTTAGGCACTCTGCATGTGAGTTACCCCAAAGTCAAACTGCTGAGAGCTGTGGCTTCATTTGCAGAGTCCCTTCACCTTTTGAGTGGAAGACTCTTGTGTTATTTCATTCAAAGCAAACCCATGTGACGCTTGTAAGCCAGGGTTCCATTTACGTGTGTAGGCATCAACTCAGAACTTCCTGAGGTACATGACCACTGGGTAGTGGGAAGCACCCTTAAGAGATTCGTTTTAACTTATAACAGGAGAAATTGGAGCTCAGAAAGAGGACACCAATTTTGGTGACAGAGTCTGTGTCCTCCTTCATGGGAGCTGCTGTGTCTTCCTGTTGCCGGTTGAGCAGATGCTCAGGAAGGGCTGGTGGAGGTGGCCAAAGTGACGTCCTAATTTGCTGAGGGGTCAGTGCTGGGTCTCAACCCTTGTTGCAGAGTGCTAAAGAATGGGCCACCAAAGAGACAGTCCAGGGAGGTGCTGCCAGTAACCGTGGCTGAATTCTTGTGTGGCTTCCTCCCATCTTCCACAGCGGGTCCCATGAGGAACGCTGCTCTGGAGGATCTTGAGAAAAGGCCCCAGACAAGGCCACCAGTCCATAGGGAAGCCCAAGGCATCCTCCTTCCAGGACCTGACCTCCTCCACCGACAGCCTCCTCATCTTCCCCTGGCACTTCTGCACCTTTCTGGAACATGTCCCATCAGACAACTAGGAAGGCTGGCTGGTTGCTGGGCATGGCCAGGTGCTTCCACATGAGCAGCCCTGCCCACCCTGGAGCAGAGTTGTCCCTGTCAGGTGCCACAGCACTCACGGGCCATCTTTATATTTCCTCCTCTCACCTCGGGCCCTTGGGGAAACAGCCCTTGGGATCAACATCCAGCTCAGCCATAAACGGCATTGAAATAAAGAAACCATGTCTTTGGAAATTTGGGGCAGCATAAATAACCCACTTCCTTCTGCCCTCCCCACATTCTGGCCACGTGGTTCCCCCTTCTTGTGCCTCTAAGCAGAGATAGTAAAGGAAAGAGAGGCCCGGCACATGCCCACATCTGTAATCTCACCACTTGGGCAGGCCGAGGTGGGAGGATCACTTGAGCCCAGAAGTTCAAGACCAGCCCTGGCAACATAGAGATCCTGTCTCTGTAAAAAATTCAAAAAATTAGCCAGACATGGTGGTGCATGTGTGTAGTCTCAGCTACTTAGGAGCCTGAGGCAGGAAGATCACTCGAACTTGGGAAGTCGAGGTTGCAGTGAGCTATGATTGCGCCCCTGTACTCCAGTTTGAGTGACAGAACAAGACCCTGTCTCAGGAGAAAAACAAAACAAAAGAAAAAACAGGCCAGGAAAGAAAGAAAAGGGAAGGTGCCACCACGGGGAAAGGAATATGGGAGGGGAGGACAAAGATGAAGGCGTCCCTCCCTGATCTCAGCTCTTCGGAGGGCTGAGAGCAACCTCTCCTGCTCGGCTGCCCGGGGGGGGGCAACCAGCCAAGCCTCCACCCTTCCCAAGTTAAGCCCATGCCTTCTCCCAAGGATGCCGACCTCAGCCCCTGAATCACACTACTTCTGGGAGCAGGAGCCTCAAGCACCTCCTGGCTGGGCAAGCCTCTCACATCAGCCAGCTGGGCACTGACACAGCACAACCAAGGAGGGGGAAGTACCCAGCCCCACTCCTGGTATTGGGCATGGGAGGGACTCCTTCATTCAGAGTCTGCTGGGTAAAGCATCCAAGGTCTGAACTGAGGTCAACAGGTTTGAGAGTCTGGATTATTTGAGAGAAACCAGATACAGATGTTTTAATACCACGGATTTTTTTTTGTGGGAAGTGAGACACAAATGGCGGGAGCGGGTTGGGTTGGAGTCTGCACTGTGCTTACAAAATGCGACGATGATGGTGATGATGATGATGGTGACGATGGTGGTGATGATGATGATGATGATGATGGTGATGATGGTGATGATGGTGATGATGGTGATTGATGATGGTGATGATGATGGTGGTGATGATGATGGTGATGATGATGGTGATGGTGATGATGATGGTGATGATGATGATGGTGATGGTGATGGTGATTGATGATGGTGATGATGATGGTGGTGATGATGATGGTGATGATGATGGTGATGGTGATGATGATGATGATGTTGATGGTGATGATGGTGATGGTGATGATGATGATGGTGATGTGATGATGGTGATGGTGATGGTGATGATGATGATGGTGATGATGGTGATCATGATGGTGATGGTAATGATGATGATGGTAATGGTGATGATGGTGATGGTGATGATGATGGTGGTGATGATGATGATGATGGTGATGATGAAGGAGGAGGAGCAGAGAGGAAAAAACGGAGTGTATGAAGAAATGGCCTTTAAACATAGAATGGATCTGAGAGGGGGGCAATATAAACAGTGTTTCAACATCTGAAAGAATATTAGAACAACGTGTGCAGTGGCCAGTCTTGATTTTCTCTTAAGGATTAAACCAGAAGAGATGGGATCAGACTGCAGCTTGAGAAGTCAAAGTTAACAATAAGGAGGAAGTGTTTTTTGTTGTTTTTGTTGTTGTTGTTGTTTTGTTTGTTTTAAGATGGAGTTTGGCTCTTGTTGCCGAGGCTGGAGTGCAATGGCACAATCTCAGCTCACCGCAACCTCCGCCTCCCAAGTACAAGCAATTCTCCTGCCTCAGCCCCCGAGTAGCTGGGATTATAGGTGCCCACCACCATGGCCAGTTAATTTTGTATTTTTAGTAGAGACGGGGTTTCTCCATGTTGGTCAGTATGGTCTCAAACTCCTGACCTCAGGTGATCCGCCCGCCTTGGTCTCTCAAAGCTCTGGGACTACAGGCGTGAGCCACCGCGCCCTGCCAGGAGGAAGTGTTTTTGAGCAATAGCAACCATTGTGAGTGACAGAGAAGGGGAGGAGAAGGGGCCTGGGAGCGCTAAGGTGGGATTCTGGGAGGTTCTGAGTGATAACAAAGGGTCAGGGCTGCCCCTTACCCACATACTGCAGAGGTGTTGTGAGCTGGGTCTGATGGAGAACTCACTCAAGCATGCCCACCCTGGGCATCACCCCCAGCACTCCCTTCAGTGGCTCATTCACCCAGAAAGAGTGCTCCTGGTCCCTCTACCCTCTGTCTTGCTGGACACCTGGTGAGGCCTTAAGGGCTGGCTGCTAGCCCTGGTTTGCTCCCGGGTTAGGGCCGCTCAGCCACCACCATCCAGCCCTTGAACGAAAGAGCCCACTGACTTCCATGCCTCTGGGCTCCAGGGCCCTGCCCAGGCCTGGCCCAAGACAGATGTTGGTAAATGTTTATTGGGCAATGGAATAGCACCCCTGGCTGGGCAGCAAGAGAACCAGAAAGAAGCTCAGAAAGTAACTAGATCCTCTCATTTTGCAAAGGGTGGCAGTGAGATGGCCCAGGGATGGGCAGGAATGGGCCTGCCCAAGGCTTCCTGACATGGCAGTCTCATGCTGCCTTGCATCCAGCCAAGGAAACACTAGACTGTACAGAGGCCTGCCTGCTCAGCCAACCTGGCACCATCGGGTCCCCCAAAGACTCACGGAGGGGCAGCGGCCATGCTTCTCTCCCTTACCCATCCCACTCTGCTCCAGGCGCCTCGTCCCTCCTTGTTTCTGACTCTTAACTACGTCCTTGTTTATCCTCTCACCCCTGGTTCGGTTCCCCAACTCATCATCTCTCTGTCTCACTCCCTCTCTCACTCTCCTCGCTCTCTCTCACTCTCCTCAGCTTTACCAGGCTGGCTATTTCTACCTCTGACCCTTTGCCCTAGTTGGAGCCTAGAGACCCAGCCCCCAGCCCCAGCTCCTCCCCACTGGCCAGAGCCCAGAGGGATCACGACAGGACCCCAACACACACATGCTGGTAGATCCCAGTTACAGGCAATAGAACGTGGGTGGGTAGCAACAGCGTACAGCTCTGTGACAAGCCCAGGTAGCGCAGCTGTGTGGCAGTGGGTCACTGTTCCATAGCAACCGAACAAAATTACATAGCAATGGATGAACTCAGCGACCAAGAGGCACAGTGACAAGCAATCGAAGGTGGCCGTGGAGTGGTGGAGTGGAGTTGCATAGCAATAGACCCAAGCCGTAGCATGTCACACAGCCCCGCACTGCAGGAGGGCGCAATCACAGGAATGAGTCCCGAGTGCAGTGTGGAAGCTGTGGGCGGAGGTACAGAGCAGTAGAGGATCCTTCGGTAGCACTGGGACACAACTGAGAAGCAGTGGCACGTTCACAGTGTGTGTGGCTCCTGGACATGCGGTGGCCGGTAGCAGGGCCCCGGGCTGGAGCAGCGGGCGCCCGCGACATGGCAGTGGCTGTGTAGAAGAACCGCCTCCCTCCCGCTGGGCCGTGGCCTCTGGCTGAGCCTCTTGGCATCCCCTAATGTCTGAAGTGCGTTTGTCTATATCCAGTCTCATCGTGCGTTCCCCAGGGGCCGAAAAACAATTTGATTTCTGATTCCCTTCAGATCCTACTTCAGCTTAATAAGAAATTGCACACTTTCTGCAGAGAAAAGCACCTTGGGAGCGGAAGGGGGTGGAGAGGAGGAGGTCTGTGCCTCTCCCTGCGTTGCTGCCTCCTGCCCTCGGGCCTGCCCATCGCACCCCGACAGCCTGCTGAGGCCACGGCGGCTCCCTGCCCCTGGATGTGCCCTTGATTCACCTCCTTCCCCAGCTGCAGCCCAGCCACTTCCCACCTTGGAATACTTGGCTTTGACCCAGGCCTCTCGGGTTCCGTTTTGTCAACATGGTACAAAGCTCTGGTCTCGGGCGGGCCCGCTGAAGGTCAAGGTCCCATGGGTATGGTCTTGGGTCAAGTGTAGGGCCTGAGGCAGAGGCAGAGGAAACCTTCTCCCCCTCCTGAGCAGCTCG